GAGAGCCCGATGAGGGGCTTGATCCCAGGACGCTGGGATCATGAAGGCAGAGGCTTTAACCCACTGAGCCACCCAGGCGCCCCTGTCCTCACTTTCTTGATGGTCTCCTTTGAAACACAAAAGTTTACAATTTTGATGTCTAGTTCATCTGTTTATGTTGCTGTTGCTTGTGCTTTTGGTGTCATATTAAAGTTATCATTGTTTAACGCAAGGTCATGAACAGTTACGTTGTCTTCCGAGAATTTCACAACTGTAGCTCTTACATTTAGGGCTTTGGTCCATTTTGAGTTAATTTTTCTATATGGTGTGATTTCTTTATCTTTCTATAGACACAGATGGAACAATTTAGAGGTGACTATACAATGACTGTAGTTTACATCAGACAAAGCAGATGAGGCAAATATGGCAATTTGTTTTTAGAATTATTTTATTTATTTAAGAGAGAGAATGCAAGTGGGGAGAGGGGCAGTGGGGGAGGGAGAGGGGAAGCAGACTCTCCACTGAGTGCGGACGGAGCAAAGCAGGGCTGGAAGGGGGTGGTCCATGTGGGGGTCAATGCAGGGCTGGACACGTGGAGCTCACTACCCTGAGATCATGACCTGAGCCGAAATCAAGAGTTGGGAGCTTGACTAACTGAGCCACCCAGACACACCAAATCTGGCAAAACAAATTTTTTTTAAGATTGTATTTATTTATTGGACAGAGACACAGAGAGAGAGGGAACACAGCAGGGGGAATGGGAGACGGAGAAGCAGGCCTCCTGCTGAGCAGGGAGCCCAATGCAGGGTTCAATCCCGGGACCCCAGGATCATGACCTGTGCCGAAGGCAGACACTTAACAACTGAACCACCCAGGTCCCCCTCTAGCAAAATTTTGGTAGTTGCTAAATCTAGGTGATGGGTTTATTGATGTTAATTCTACTCTTCTCTATTAAAATTTTTTTCTTTAAATGATAGAAAGTAAAAGGAGATGATATAGAAATAAGAATCAGGAAAAAAACTTGATTATGAGTGAAAATATCACTAATAGAGGAATAAACTTGTATTTATTTTAACTTGCATCTTAAAGCAAATTATTTATAAACTCTAGCAGTTTATAATTAGTTAGAAATTATTTGCCACACTCCTAAGAAATACACACAATTGAATGAATGCAGCAGGGTGTCTTGACACTGCTCTTAAGAACCAATGTTCTAGAGCTTCTTGCTCTTAAAGCAACTGCCAGCCACAGGTGACTGTTGAGCCCTTGAAAAATAGTCCAAATTGAGGTGTGCTTTAGTTGTAAAGTATATTTCAAAGACTTCATGTGAGCAAAAATAAAAAAAGGAATGCAAAATATTTCATTAATTTTTTTTATATTGATTACATGTAGGAGTGATAACATTTGGGACATATTAGGTTAAATAAAGTGTGTCATTAAAATAACATCACTGTTTTTACTCTTTTTACTTATTTTTTAATATTTTATCTTATTTATTTATTTTTTAAAGATTTTATTTATTTATTTGACAGAGATACAGCGAGAGAGGGAACACAAGTAGGGGGAGAGGAAGAAGGAGAAACAGGCTTCTGCTGAGCAGGGAGCCCGATGTGGGGCTCGATCCCAAGACTCTGGGATCATGACCTGAGCTGAAGGCAGATGCTTAACCAACTGAGCCACCTAGGTGTCCCTGTTTTTGCTCTTTTTAAATATGGCTACGAAAAAATGTAAATTACATATGTGGCTTGCATTATACTATTTTTGGGCATCACTGTTCTGGAGAGAAAGGACTGAGTTCAAAGGCCTGCATTCTGATTCCCTTGCTGCCTTTTACTAGCCATGTAACTTTGGGCCATTTCTTCCATTTCTCAGCCCTAGGGTAGTTGGGAATAAATTCATTCTGCAAATGTTGAGAGCTTTTACTATATACAAAGATCTTGGCTAAATGATGTGGGGAATACACAACGTGAAACTGTTCGTAAACTCAAATCAGTGTTTCTCATAGTAGTCCTATTGATGAGTCAGTGAAGTGAGAGGCCAACAGTGGAAATATCTTATTTTCTCCACTAACATTAAAATAATGTCTTAAAATAATGACTATTTTACAATATGGCCAAAATCTGAGATCACATATACACATGGCACATGTTCTCTCCATCCTGAGTCTTGAGTCTTTCTTTGTATGTGTGGTCCATTTTCCTGGAGGCTCTCTCAACTCCACATTCCATCCAAGAAGCGCGCTGTGGTAGATCTCTGGTGGACTAGCGGACCTGGTATCGATGCCCGTATGTGGCCGCATACCATCCTGATGCTGGTTTTGCCACATAACTTGCTTTGACCAATGGGACATTGGCAAATTTGGTAATACCAGAGGCTCGATGAGTATTTGCTCATCCAAGTGGAGGAAAGGGACAGGAGTGCATTCAGACAAGTGGTTATCAAGCTGGCGGGATTTTACTCCTTGGGGAATATTTGACAATGTCTGCAGAGACCCGACTGTCATAGCTGGTCAGAAGGTGCTATTGGCATCTCGTGGGTAGAGGCCAAGGATGTCGCTAAACATCCTCCAATGAACAGGACAGCACCATCGCAAGGAATTACCCAGCCCACATGTCAGTAGGACCAAGGTTGAGAAACCTGCTCTAGACCAGGGTTTTGTCACCACAAGCTGGGTCCTTTGGGTCAAAGATAAAGGGCTTTGGAGAGAAAATGTCTGCTCTTGAACGAACTTACCTACAGTGGTTCTTTAAAGCCCGCATAGATATACCAAGGACAGATTTCTGGACAGTCTGCTACTCTTGATGATTTGATTTGATTTGATTTTTTAAAAGATTTTTTATTTTTTTATTTGACAGAGAGAGATATCACAGGCAGAGAGGCAGGAGAGGCGGGGGGGGGGGGGGAGCAGGCTCCCTGCCGAGCAGAGAGCTCAATGCGGGGCTCGATCCCAGGACCCTGAGATCATGACCTGAGCCTAAGGCAGAGGCTTAACCCACTGAGCCACCCAGGCACCCCTCTCATGATTTTGGATGATCCCAGTTTACCCTCAGCATTCAAGCCTAGTACCTCATCAAAGAGTTGAACCAACAACCATTTGGTAAGTTTTCCCCACCTAGATCTTGCTTCTCCTTGGTAGTATTGACATCATGGTTTGTGAGGATTCAACCCTAGCTTCCCAGCCCCTGACCATTAACATACTCAGAGACCAGGGCTTTAACTTCTACTGTAAGGTAGAGTCTGTCAGTTTTGTTACCCAATTACCATGGCCGCCCAGAAGCCACTTTCCTCCTGAAAAGAACATGTGTATAGCTTGCCTATGAGAAAAATTTTAAGGACATAAAAATTACAGTAAATATTGTTAGTAGAAAATTTTATTAGGAGAGTTTAAAAATAATTACATTAGCAGACTCATTCAATAAAAATTTTAGACATATGGTTGAGTATCAGTATAAATCTCATTGCTATGGTAATTAACCATAAAACACATAGGTAATAAATCATTGCAAGTAGTGTTGTGTTTTTTTTTGTTTTTAAATAATGGAGCACATATGTGTCCCCAGGAAGAATGAAACGGGACAGAAATGCCAGAATTGGTGGTTTGGGACAGCTTTTTGGTAAGCAGACAGATTCAGGAGTTTAAAGAAATACTCGATGTGCTAGGTAGGCAAGTTTGAAAAGTGCATGGACCCAGATGAAAAGTCCTAATTACATGAATAATCCCAGGAATCCCCTAAATCCCAGTTATACGAAATCAGGTTACAGTGGGCTACAACCCGCCCGCAGGAGGACGTCGGTGTGGACGGAGGGCCAATTCTTGGCCACGGTAGGTAAAAACCAGCCATTTATCTGACCTGTTTAATCTGTTGTCATTGAGAAGCATGAAACTTGCCAGCATCACTAACATGCGGGTCCTCTGTTCCCACGTAATACGTTCTTTTCCCCTACATTTGATTTGTGCACAGGGCTTGGCTCCAGGACTGTATCTGCTTGAGAAAACCCTTTTTGGTCCAGTATGCAGGGAGGGAGCGAAAGGCAGCAGACTCCAGGGCTATGGAGAGCCCTGGCAGGGACGGGGAGGGGGGATGACATGACACCACCTGGTGGGACTGGGGCCGCTGGGGGTGAGGTTCCCGGGGTCAGGCAAGAAGTCGCAAAACTGACCTGATTACCTAAAAATGAGGAATCTGGAGGGGCCTTGATTTGATCAAGTTTCACCATCACCATGGAGAGCAACCTTGCCTCTCCATCTGCGGTCAGGGCTCAGAGGGCCATGGGTTTCATGGCTTTTTCAAGGACACAGGGCCGTTCTGTAATTCAGGCATCAGCGAATTTTGATTAAGGACATGATAGTCAATAATTTAGGTTTTGTGGGCCACCAAGCAAAATGGAGAGGTTATTATGTAGGTCCTTACAGAACGAGAGAAAACAAATTTTCACAATATTTTTATTGACAAAATATAAGAATTTAGTACAACATTTTGCAGTACACACTACTAGTTAGAGGAAAGGGGTTTTTTGTTGTTGTTGTTTTGTTTTGCTTTTTGAAGGGGATACTATTTTTCTTAGTTGAGTTGCGAACGTGGTACAGCTGTAGATCACACAGATTGCAAATGTTCACGTGTAAGAACAATGTTTAGGTCTCTGGTATAAACAGAGCCGTGGATGTGACCCCGCGGGCCACAGTTTTAGAGACCCTTGTAGTGGCACACAGTCGTCTGCAGTGGGTTTGGGGGTATTGGGGGGGCTGCTCCTGGTTGCTAGGCACGTCCGTCGCCTCTTCCTGCACCCTCCCTCGGTGCCCAGTTAAGCTGGTACATCGGCCCTCCCTCTCCAGGCAGGGCAGAAAGGTCAAAAACGCGGCCCAGAGCGCTCCCTCTTCAGCCCCTCCTCCCCCGGCTCCGCCCCCTCCAGCTCCTCCTCCTCCCGGTCTCGCCGCGGCGCTTTCCCGCGCCTCCACCCCCTCAGCTCCGCCCCGCCCCGCCCCCTCGAGCCCCGCCCCGACTCCGCCCCCTGCAGCTCCCTTCCACTCCGCTCCTCCTTTGGTCGACAGCCGCGCTTTCCCGCTCGCGTCGCAGCCTCCGGTGCCACCGCCGCCTCCGCCATGCCCAACATCGTGCTCTTCAGCGGCAGCTCGCACCAGGACCTGTCCCAGCGCGTGGCCGACCGGCTGGGCCTGGAGCTGGGCAAGGTGGTCACGAAGAAGTTCAGCAACCAGGAGACCAGGTGGGGGCCGCGCCGGCGGCCGGGCCGGGCCGGGGAAGACGCAGGGCGCGCGGCTGCGGGGCCGGGCGGGGACCGTCGCCCGCCCGGGACCACTCCGCGGCCGCCCGCTCCCCCTTCCGGGGCGGGACGGCCACGACGCGGCCTCCGCGCCACCGCTGCGGCGCCCGGGAGACGCGGAGGAGGGCGGCCCCTGGCCCGGAAGGGCGACCTCGGGGCGGTCACAGCGTCGAGGAGAGGTGGGCGCAGGCCAGCGGGAACCGCCTCGGTGCCGGGCACGCGGCGAGGGACGTCCCCGGCTGTGCCCGTCCGGTTTCCCCGTCCCCTCCAGGCTGGTCCCAAACCCCGGGCGTGCGAGGGACGGCTCCGCCCACGTCCCCAGCCCCGGCTGCGCCCTGCCTTCACCTGGGGTCGTTCGGAAAGCCGCTTCCCCTGCCTGCCCCGCGGCTTCGGAGCCCCACGGCTGGGTGGGGGTCTGCGTTTTCAGAAGCTCGCAGGTGACTGCTGGTCCCGGGCGCCGACCTCTGGGTTGAGCCGAGGGGGTGTTTGTGCGGCGGGTTTCAAGAGCGCCCGAGCGCACGTGCTGGTTCCCGTGGGCTTCCTCTCATTTTTCTGCCTCAAAGGTGATAGACTTTTGGTCGCGTTGGTAGTTGTGGGACTCGGCTGTGTCCAGCGGCAAGGCCCTGGCCCCGCGTAACCGCTACCCGTGTCTCAGGTCCAGGAGCCGTGGTCGCCTCCCTTCAGTGAGGTCAGACCGGTGGCCCCCCCCGCCCCCGCTCTCACCCCCCGCTCCCCTCCCCCACCACGAAACGGGACAGGGGCTCCGTGTCCCACCTGCCTGAGTCCACAAAGCTCTTTGACCGGTTTCAAGTGGGTCTCCTTTTTAGCTCTCTCCCTCAAGCGTCCAGCACTGTACGCAGTTGCTGATCATTTTTATGTCTGGCAGAGGTCCAAAGCAACCAACACTTTGAAAAAAGTGGTGAGGGAACAATTGGTGTGAGCTGCCAAAACGCAGCAAACAACATCTCTACTTCCCACCGTTTCAGAAATGAACTTGAAATGGATCGTGTACCTAAATGTGAAGCCTAGAGCGAAACATTTATAGAAGAAAACCTGGGTGACTTTTGGATTAGTCAAAAATGTCTTAGATGCTAAGGAATTAGAGTCAGAAATATGGGGACGGTGGTGTTTGTGGAGTCAGCTTTATAGGATCTGGGAAACCCTTCTTCCGAGTGGGAAATCACTGTACATACATAGTCCCGTTGATAATGTAAGTGAAGAAACGTTTGCGAACGAGTAACAGGTGCTCTACCTGCTCGGAGTCCTTGAGCCCAACGTTTCCGCTTTGCGGAGTTTAGTAGATAAGTCTGGAAGCATGGTGGCGGGCTCGGGAAAAGGCTAGTGTAGCGGGGCTTGAATGTTGTAATATCTTGCCAGTCCTATTCAAGTTTCAGTAGCCGTAACAAGAGTGGGCTACTAGTTTTTGTTCGGGAGGTGGCATCGTGTAAGTAAAGGAGAAATTTCTGCATGAAGTGGATATGTTGCCCTTCCCTGTTCTCTCCATGCAGCGCTCTCCTTTGTTACTGGAGCATAGTCAATCTCAGAAGTCCATTGCAAAGTCATTGTTGGATTTCTGCTCAAAATACTGTGTGTACCTTTGGGGGAAACTCATTCGGACCTTGAAGTACGATTGTATGTTTAACTCAGTTTTATTTGTTTTTTGAGTATTTTATAATGACCACCTGCTAACTAAAAATCATGAGGTCTCAAACCACTCAACGTGACGTCTGGGAATTGCTTGTATAGTTATATTATGTATTTTTTTATTTTGTGTTTGGTTTTTTTTTTTTTTAACCATTCATTCCTCAAAGATTTTATTTAGTTATTTAGTTATTTAGAGAGAGCAAGGCCGTGCTCCGGAGCTCACGTGAGCAGGGGGAGGGGCAGAAGGAGAAAGAATCTCAAGCCAATTCTGAGCTGAGCCCAGAGCCCGACGCGGGGCTCGATCCCCGTTCCCCGAGATCGGGACCTGAGCCAAAATTAAGGGTCGGACGCTTAAGTGACTCAGCCACCTGGGCGCCCCTATTTTGTTTTTTAAGTAATCTCTGTGCCCAAGGAAGGGCTTGAACTCACTACCCTGAGATCAAGACTCCAGTGCTCCCGACTGAGCCAGCCGGGTGCCCCAACATTATATATATATATTTTTAAAGATTTTATTTATTTGACAAAGGGAAACAGCAAGAGAGGGAGCACAAGCAGGGGGAGAGGGAGAGGGAGAAGCAGGCTTCCTGCTGAGCAGGGAGCCCGGTGTGGGGCTCCATCCCAGGACCCTGGGCTCATGACCTGAGCCCAAGGCAGGCACTTAATGACTGAGCCACCCCAGTGCCCCTGTATGTTTTTATTTTTAATATAACAGGTTAGCTTCCTGACGTTTCTCTTTCCCATGAACTTTGTAGGTCCAGAGGTTGATTTTTACAAACAGTCCTCTCTGTACTAGGTATTGTACTAGTGATCTGGTTTTTACTGTGTAGTCCTAGAGATGAGAAACGGGGTAAAAAGAAGAGAAAATTGATTTAGTTCGTGTAAGCTTCCTGAACCCCTCCCCAGAGCCAGGACCAGAAATGTGCTTTAATGTCTCCTGGTCATCACTCCTTCCATTCCCCACTTTTTTTTTTTTTTTTAAGTTTTGATTTTTTTTCTTTTTGTAATCTCTATACCCAACGTGGGGCTCAAACTGAGAATTCCAAGAATCAAAATTAGCACGCTTATCCAGCTGAGCCAGCCAGGCACCTGTTCCCCGTTGTTCCCCACTTTTTTTAAAAAAAATGTTTTATGTATTTAGGGGCACCTGGGTGGCTCAGGTCATGATCCCAGGGTCCTGGGATCGAGCCCTGCATCGGGATCTCTGCTCGTCAGGGAGACTGCTTCCTCTTCTCTTTCTGCCTGCTTCTCTGCCTACCTGTGATCTCTGTCAAATAAATAAATACATAATCTTTTAAAAAATGTTTTATATATTTATTTATTTGTCAGAGAGAGAGAGAGCGAGAAAGCACAAGCAGGGAGGCAGACTCAGCGCCCCCCCCCCCCCACGCAAGGAGCTGATTGAGGGATTCAATCCCAGGACCCTGGGACCATGACCTGAGCTGAAGGCAGACGCTTAACCGCCTGAGCCACCCAAGTGCCCCTCTTTCCCCACCTTTAAAATACTACTTAATCAGACACAGGGCCTCCTGAATTTCCCTTCTCATCTCTGAATCACTTTACTGATTTTTTGTTTATTTTTAAAGATGGTATTTATTCGTTTGAGAGAGAGGGAGCGTGAGTGAGCATGAGTAGGGGGAGAGGGACAAGTAGACTCATCTCTGAGCATGGAACCCAGCACAGGGCCCTATCCCGGGACCCTGAGATCATGACCTGAGCCACCGAGGAGCCCCTCTGAATCATTTGAAATATGCAGAGAGATGTTTCTGCACGGGCTTCCTTAGAGACAGCTGAAATTCCACAATGAAGGTGTCTGAAGGTCAGTTAACGTGCCCACAGAGTGGTTAGCTGTACTGAAAGACCCAGAGTTTTGGTTTTCTCTTGTGTAACAAATCACCCCAGAATTTAACCGTTTAAAACAGCGATTGTGTATTTGACTCACAAACGTGCAGTTTGGGCAGTGCCCTGTGTGATGGCGTCTGGGACGGTTACCTGGGGCTAGAGGGTCTACTTCGAAGGTGGCCTGCTCACATGGCTGATAAGTCCGTGCCTGCTCCTGCCTGGCAGCTTGGTCAGGAACCTCAGGACCTCCCCCCGCTCCCCCCCCACCCGGGGCTGCTTGAGCATCCTTACAGCATGGAAGACAGGCAGTGGACCTGCTGGTCTGGTAAGCCCTGGGCCCTGAAGTTGGGGCATTGTCACTACAGAGTCTTCCCAAATCCAAGGGAAGGGGAACATAGACTCCAATTTTTATTTTTTCTATTTTAGAGAGCATGTGTGCTTGCAAGGTGAGTGTGCAAGCAAGGGAAGGGGAGAGGCAGAGGGTGAGAGCATCTCAAGCAGACTTCCTCCTGAGTGTGGAGCCTGACGTGGGGCTTGATCTCACAACCCTGAGGTCATGATCTGAGCTGAAACCAAGAGTTGGATGCTTAACTGACTGAGCCACCCAGGTGCCCCTAGACTCCACTACCTTTTTTTTTTTATATGATTTTATTTATTTACTTGAGAGAGAACGCACGTGAAGGAGGACAGGGAGAAGCAGGCTCCATGCTGAGCAGGGAGCCTGATGCGGGGCTCAGTCCCATGATCCTGGGATCATGACCTGAGCCAAAGGCAGACGCTTCACCGACTGAGCCACCCAGGCGCCCCTAGACTCCACTTCTTGGTGGGAAAAGTTTTTAAAGCATCTGCAGCCATCTTTTAATCAGCACACCCATTCATTGTTGAGTCACATGAACTCACCTGCCTTCTTATTTCGGAATCTGTGACGATTCTTCATGTGAACAGCAAAAGGATGCTGCCTTCTGGCCACAATTTTTAAAAGACCCTACAAGAAAGATCAGTCGTGATCATCTTTTTGAGTAGAAGCAGGAATAGCTTTGGGGAGAAGAGTTGCCATGGTGATAGGACTTTCCATCCTCTGCTGGACTGCTAATCATACGGGGATTGAAGTTCCTGAAGAAAAATAGGCCAGAGAGACAGGTCTTAGGGGATAAACAGTCCTAACACCAGACGCCGGCAGATTTGTTCTGTAATGGGTCACGTAGTAAATACTTCGGGCTTGGCAGGCCCATGTTCCCTCTGTCGCCGCTGCATCTCGTGGCTGTGTAGGTTAGAAGTCTGTTATGGGTTGCTGCATTCCCTTCTGGAGGCTCTGGGGAGAAGCCATTCGCTTGCCTTTCTCAGCCTAGAGAGGCTTCCAGCAGCCCTTGGTTTCTTCCGTCTTCAGAGCCAACCATGCGGCACCTTTCTCCCCCTGCCTCAGACCTCCGGTCTCTCTAACCTTTTCTGTCTTCCTGTCCCATTTAAAGGACCCTTGTGATTGCATTGTGCCAACTTGAATAATCTCCGGGAAGTCTCCCTATCTTAAGGTCAGCTGGTCAATAACCTTAATTCTAGCTATATAACTCCGCGATTTCCAAATTGGCCTTATTCCGCAGTTGACAGGATATTCACAAGGGAATGACGGGTAGCTCCTGAGAACTCAAAATAGGAGGGGGCGTATAGAATTCTCTCTCTTCATACTCTTGCCATTCATAGCAGAGAACGTAGAAAAACAGGACCCCTGTTATCAGAATTGACTTGCAGATCACTTCGACTTGAAAGACTTCATTTTTGTGTTCCAATTAATTCTAGTTGAAGTTGGGTAGAGGCGTCTGTGGATTCAACATACTGCTGCATGGTGTCGGAAATGTCGACTCATTTTAACAGTTTTAGAAACAGTTGGCTCTGTTGATAAAGCAGTATCATTGGGTATAATTGGCTTCTGGTCGTAGAAGAGATAAGGGTAATTATTTATGTGCCTCACTTGTAATTTTAAAGTAAGAGTCTTTCTGTTTCTTCTCAGGGTGAGCCCATTTGCAGGCCGTCTTACTGTACTGTGACATGCTTTCCTAATCATCGTGCTAGGCAAAATCATACAATAAAAAGCACAGGGTTTATGGGAAAACTGGGGTTGGACCAGCACTCAAACTTCTTCCGTAACTTGCTTTAAGAAGATGGGATACGACAGAAATGGTGAAAACGCTACACATACTGAAGGTTTAAACAGTAGTGGGGCGCCTGGGTGGCTCATTTGGTTAAGTGTCTGCCTTTGGTTCAGGTCATGATCCCACGGTCCTAGGATCAAGGCCCACATCAGGCTCCCTGCTCAGCGGGAAGCCTGCTTTTCCCTCTCCCTCTGCCCCTGCCCCCTGGTTGTGCTCCCCCAATAAATAATTGTTAAAAAAAAATACATAAACACTGTAGTAAGTATGACACTTTCCACTGAAGAAGACCTACAGCTTCCTTGTGGAAGCGGGTGTCTGAAGGGTCATCACTTTGGGGTTCTTGTGAGGCGAGGGGGGGAGGGTGATCAGAAGGCATGTGGGGAATGGTGATAACAGATGTGGATGGGTGTGGCTGTGGTCCTCGTTGGGAGGGTGCGCGTGCATATGTGCCAAGTATTTCTCAGTGGTTCCATTCAGCTGGGGGCAGTGCGGTTTTCTGCCTTCTCATCTCAGGATGAAAGGTGGTGTGGAAGCAAATGCAGAATTCGTATTATGCTCCAGGTATCAACTGTGGAAAAATGTAGCACAGCCGAGGGTCTCCTTGGTTCCTGGCACTGCTCTGGGTAGGACCTGCCCCAGCACACAGCGCTATTTCCCTTTTGTTCCCACGGGAAGGCGCGTGCCAGGAATGGGCTGGCTCGCTGTTGTCTTGAACACTCACCATTCTCTGCCCAAAACACAGGTTTTCCAACATGCAGTTTTCAGAGACTTTTGAAGCGCCTCTTTACTCTTTCTCCAGAAGCTACTGGAGTTTGCCAACCAGCCAAACGAAGAAGTACAGCAAGAAAGAGGATATAGGAAGTGGGGAATTGAGTGTGGGGGGAGGGATGGTGGGATTCCCCGCACCCCCCGGGGGGCGGCACATGTGCAGAGGCAGAAGGAGAACCCGGGGCGGCCAGTGGTGGGAGCAGACACGGCAGGACAGTGAGCTGGAGATGGCGCTTGCAACCGACGTGGTGGGAATGTAGATGGTCAGGCCGGTGTTTCCGCTGGAATTTGTCTTCACTACTTAGAAAACTTAGCAGGTGAAAACGTACGGCGATAGACTCCAGGGAAAACCGATCAGCGAAAGCTATGTGTAAGAGGGAAATCTAACCTTGGATTGAGGTTTGCTTTATGGCTCAACTCGGAATAGCCCTTACAGAGTTCCAAGTAGCCGTCCTGTTTGGTTGGAAGGTTGCTGCCGGGGCTGCGGGTGACGCGGGTGCGTGACATGGGGGTTAGTTCGCTCCTCGTCTGCGTAGCTAGACGTCAGCACGTGATGCTGGAAGTGCAAACTCAAGATGAAGCCAGAGAAACGAACTGATGGAGGCTTGACGATAAATGCCTGAGAGCCGCAGCCGGAGTTGACGTGGGTTGCCTTCTGAGATGTTTGCTATGAGCCTTACAGAATGACAAGAACTTTTAAAGCAGTGCGTTTATGTAACTTTAATAAAAGCAAAGCTCAGTATACTGTTTAGCAGAAAGAGGTAAATATGGCAGGACTGAGACGTATTTCCGGCGAGCGTAGAAGATCCTCTGCTATGTGAGAAAGCGCGACTTGCCTGGGGTCCTCAGCCGGCCTTTGGGAACCTTGTTTTTGCCACGGTTCCCGCCCTTCCCAGATAGGAACAGCTGGCTCTGCCTAACTGCGAGCGATGTGCTTAATGTGGAACCCCTGGGGGTCTGGGATCTTGGTCCGGGCCAGGCAGATGGAGCCCATGGGACCCCCCAGCTGCACCCCCCCGCCCCTCCCCCTGGTACGAGGCTGGGCACTGATGAGCTTCCGTGGCGGACAGCACTTCAGGCATACTGTCACCGCGCGTGGCTGGGGGGTGAAGCTTGCACCTGCTTGCCCGCGGAGTCTGCTCCTCACCCCTTTCCCTTCGCCTATTTTGTTCTGCATTCTTTGGCCGTGGGAGGTCCTAGCCAGGAGTGCCACTGTACAGTGAATCCTTGCCCCACAGTCGTGCTCCAGGGGACCTCCGAGACGCAAGCCTGCTTCACCGTTAGCGCTTTTTCTTTTCCTAGCGTGGAGATTGGTGAAAGCGTGAGGGGTGAAGATGTCTACATCATCCAGAGTGGCTGCGGGGAGATCAATGACAACCTCATGGAGCTCCTCATCATGATCAACGCGTGCAAGATCGCGTCATCGTCCAGGGTGACTGCCGTGATCCCATGTTTTCCATACGCCCGACAGGATAAAAAGGACAAGGTAGGAGGCTTGCATCTGTTGGCAGAACCTGTTCTGGGGTAACATCTGCGTTTTTTCCCCCTTACGTATTACCTTATAACATCTGGGAAGATGTTTGCTTTCTGTTTTAATGATCGAGTACATAAGTCTTCTCATCTGGGCTTTTCAAAGGTCTGTCTTTGAACCAGCCATCATGTTCATATTTACAGATAGAGATACAGACAAGGCATGTGTTTCCGGCATTATGATAGCATATAGCCCTGGTAGTGAAATTGTTGTGTATCTTTAATGGTGGTGGATGGAACTGGACCCCCACCCCCCACTCCTGTGTGAGTACGTTAATCTGGGGAAGTGGAATCCCATTACTGGGCTGAATCAATTGCCAGTATTTTGGTTGGGATTCTGTACTCTAGTTTTGCATACGTTGCTATGGGGAGAAAATAGGTAAAGGGCCCAACCAGATCTCTGAATTGTTTCTTAAAATTGCATATGAATCTACAGGTCTTCGAAAAGAAAAACATTCATTTAAAAAATACACCTCTTTTTGCGGGGGGTGCCTCATGGGTGGCTCAGTGGGTTAAGCCTCTGCCTTCGGCTCAGGTCATGATCTCAAGGTCCTGGGATCGAGCCCCGCATCGGACTCTGTGCTTGGCGGGGAGCCTGCTTCTCCCTCTCTCTCTGCCTGCCTCTCTGCCTACTTGTGATCTCTCTCTCTCTCTCTGTCAAACAAATAAATAAAATCTTTAAAAAAAATAAGAAATAAAAAATACACCTCTTTTTAACCTTTCACAAAGAACGAAATTGGTATTGTTGACTTTTTCTCTTAGCAACATTAGCACTATAGGAGGCTGTGTGAGTTTCTAGAAGAAATTAAGATAGTCCTTGCCTTCGCAGAACAGCAGAGAAGTTGGGATTGGAGGGGTACTTTGGACGGGATTGTATTGGTTTGCCAGGGCTGGTGCAGCAAACCACCATAAACTGGGTGGCCTAAAACAACAGAAACCTGTTCTGTCATGATTTGGGGGCCAGGCATCAGAAAACAGGGTCGCATCAGGGTTGCACTCCTTATGAAGACTCTGGCGGGGGTAGGGGGAGCCGCCTTTGCTTCTTCTGGTTTCTGGTGGCTCCTCGCATTCCTTGGCTTCTGGTGGCATCACTCCCATCTCTCAGCTTTCTTCCCTGTTTCCATGTGTCCTTCCCTCTTTTTTAAATGGTGGTCATTGGATTAGGACCCACCCTTATCTGGAGTAATCTCATTTTGATCTTTACCCTTAACCCTTTACCCATTTTGATCTTTACTCTCTAGTCCTATCTGTAGGCACCCTCTTTTTAAATGAGGTCACATTCCAAGGTTCTGGGTGGATGCGTTTTGGGGGGCTATCACTCAAAGCACGATAGCCATCGGCTCTTAAACTGTTAACGTGCTTTCTGTCTTACGGATGGCTAGAGGCTCATCAGGTTCTCCACGAATCCTTCCAGTGGACAAGACACATGGCTGTTTGTGATGTAACTAATCATGCCGGACGTTTCCCCCAATACACCTCTGTTTATCTCCCTAATTCATTTTATGAAACAACACACATTTCCAAAGAGCACACAAGATTCCGTCCTATATGGAAAAAAAATCCCTTTATAGATTTGAATTCCTATACCAAGATCCCCCTACATTTTAATGCCTCTTCCGGTGTGGTTCCCAGACCCCATGCTGAACACAGCTGTCAGCTAATTTCTCCCTAGAAATTGGTCTCCAGAACTCCATTCTGCAATTGAGTTATGATTTACCCTGCGTGGATTAGACTGGGTCGGCAAACTTTCTATAAAGGGGTGTATGGTCTCCGTGGTAGCAGCTGAACTGTGGTGTATCTCAGAGACACAGATGATGTATAAATAGTGGGTGTGGCTGTATTCCAATGAAACTTTTATGTCTGGACAGTGAAACGTGAATTTCATGTAATTGACACATGCCGTGAAATGTTCTTTTGATTATTTCCCCCCCTGGCTGTTCAGTCATGTAAAAACCATTATTGGCTCATGAGCAGTACGCGTGTGAGCGTGTGACTTTGTGACTGTGTGTGTGTCTCGGCGATGGAGCTTTAGCTAAGGGCCCCCAAAACCTTTAGGTCACATCGGTGGCCGTGAAGCACATAACCTCCCCCTTGTTATTTAGGAAGCATTTTTTATTCTAACTTGATTGGAAAGTTTTCTGTGCATTTTTATCTCCAGAATTTCTATTGATTTTTGTCCCATCAGCACAGTCTGTTGTTTCGTTTGTGTATGTCGTAGCCTTGTAGTACATCTTCACTTTTGTCCATGTCCTAAAGGAGCCAGTGATACTCTGCACTTTCTCTTTCGGGTAGCAAGAGGCTTAGCGAGTTCTGTATTCTGTCATTTGCCATCAGGTTCTCCTTTCACGTCTAGTGACTTTGGCATTTGGTGCTCAGATAGGGGATTGTATCTTCTCGAGTAATTGATTCCTTTTACTGTTCCATGGCCCCTGTTCTGGGCCCACAGCCCCGGGGAGGAGAGCCCTAACTTCTCCTTAACCGATACCAGTGGACACTGTTATGGTTTTTGTTTGTAAGTATCCAGTCTGTTTCCAGGGTGGCATTTTCAAACTTTGTTGCTCATGTTTTTTCCTAATAAAGTCTTCATCCTGCAGAGAAACTAGCCCTGCTTGGCCCTGGCCCTTGACGGGGACCTGTCTCTCACCTTAGGGGGAATGTGGCCACTGCTGGCCATCAGTGACACCTGCCACCCTACGCAGTTCTCCCACGAGCCGGCAGTGCAGCCGTAGCTTCTTACCAGCTCTTTGTCCTGGTTCCCACTGGCCGTCCTTGGGGCGGGGATTCCTTTCAGGGCCCTTTTGAACACCTGTCTTTCTTTCCTTTCCCTCTTCGTGAATCACTTTGCTCTAAGTGTGTTTCTTGGAAACAACCTGGTAGCTGCTTTTGTGTTTAACCCGCATGAGACAGTTCCAGACTTCCGAGCTTAACTGCTGATGGAGGAGATAAGACGTTCATTGTCAACCACGCAGGGAGGTGGACGCAGGGTTGAGAGGCCACACAGATAGCAGCAGAGGGAGCCCTGAGGGTAGAAATTGTGTGGCTTATTGTCAGAGAAAACTGGTGAGGAGAGAAGGAATGGTGGAGGGCTGTGTTCAGTTTGTGTTGCTGTTGTAGTAAATGACTAAATGGGGGGGGTGGGGGAGGCACTTAGAATGACAGAAATGTTGTCTCACCATTCTGGGGGCCAGAGGTGAAAAATCACGGTGTGGTAGAGCCAGGTGTGTCTGGAGGCCTAGGGGAGGATCCTCGCCTCTGTGGCTTGGAGAGGCTGCCTGGTGTCTTCCCTTGAGGCCACATCCCTCCAACCTGTCTGTGTCTTCACTTGGCTTCTTACCTCCGTGAAATCTCCGTCTTGAAGTGCGTGTAACAAGGGATCTAGGCAAATGCTTAAGAGAAATGGCCCGAGCCTGTGAGCAAACTGTGTTTATCAGTAACTGGGCTGAGCTGAGACCCAGAATGAGGGGAAAACCCTTCTTCCTCCTTTGTGCTCTGCTTAGGTAGGCTGAAGGCCGTGCAGTGTTGGAATGTGACAGGATGGCATGGGCCACACTTGAATCCCCCGCGACCCCCGCACGTCCCAAACCCGGGTTTCTCTTGTCCTGTTCTTTCCCGCAGGACGGTGCAGCCTGTGATGTCTGAGACACAAGGAAATCCAGGGTAATTGACCTTTTAGGAGTTATGTGCAGAGAAGCCCAGAAAAAGCTAGAGGCTTTTATTCATATTCAAAACCTGCTTCTTTGGGGCACCTGGGTGGCTCAGTCGTTGGGCGTCTGCCTTCAGCTCAGGTCATGATCCCAGGGTCCTGGGATCGAGCCCCGCATTGGGCTCCCTGCTCAGTGGAAGCCTGCTTCTGCCTCTCTCCCTCCCCCAGCTTGTGTTCCCTCTCTCACTCTGCTCTCTGTCAGATAAATGAATCTTAAAAAAAAAAAAAACAACCTTTACTTTGAATATTACTGCTCTTTTTTTAAGCAAGCCCCGCACATCTGTAAAATTTTATGTTTGGCTTCATTGGTATGTGCAAGAAACCAGGGCCTAGTTCCGGCAGTGAAGGAACGGTTTCATAAATCATGACGCGTCAGCACATGCGGTGCCGTCCCGGAGGAGGGAAGGTGACGTAGTATGAATCGTAAAACGCGTCGTGTCACCTTGCCTGAGTTCCGGGGTTACAGCTTTGGAAACAAGCGGACTCAGGTTTGAATTTCAGCATCATGGTTCACTCAGCTCGTTGTTTCTTTGTAATGGTAGCTTAAACTCTGTGTGTGTTTAGTTTTCTCATCTGTAAATGTAAGGATAGCATTTGCTACTATTTCTGACATGCTGTGCCTACAACAAATACATAGGTAGGCAGACTTTTTCCCAAAAAGAGCCACATGTCGAATTTTAAGACTTGATGGACCACCGGATCTGTTCAACTAGGTCAGCTCCACCATTCTGGCGCGAAAGCAGCCATAGAGGATACGTAAGCGAAGGGGTATCTGTGTTCCAGTAAAGTTTTGTTTGTGGACGCAGGAATGGGAATTACTTTTTTTTTCCTTAATTTTTTTTTAAAGATTTTTCTTATTTATTCGACAGAAAGAGAGAGGAGAGAGAGAGAGAGAGAGAGGAGAGGCAGGCCCCCTGCGGAGCAGGTTTCCATCCTGCGGTTTGATCCTAGGACCCTGGGATCATGACTTGAGCTGAAGGCAGACACTTAACCGCCTGAGCCACTCAGGTGCCCCATCTTTTTTTTTTTCTATAGGATTTTATATGATTATTTGGGAGAAACCACAAACGGTGGGGGGGTAAGGGCAGAGGGAGATGGAAAAGCAAGCAGTATGTCGACTCGATCCCAGGACCCTGGGATCATGACCTGAGCCTAAGACAGACGCTTCACCGACTGCACCACCTGGGTGCCCCTGGTGTAGGAATTTCATATGCTTTTCAAATGTCACAAAACATTCTTCATTTGTTTTTCAG